CTTCCTGGCCGTTGGATCGAAGCGCTTGATGCGATCTGAGCCGTCGGAACGAGCCCTGGAATGACCTCGTCCGTCGGATAAAAATTAGTTACTGTTGCAATGAACAGTCTCACCTCGACCGTGCCACCGCGCGTAAATAGCCTGGCCCGCCGGGGGCATTTTCGTCATTTCACTCGCCCGGGGTATAAAAGGGCCGGCTCCCGTGGAGGCAAACCCTAGCCGGCTCCCCTCCCCCTCCCGCGCGCCTCCTCTCCCTCTCTCTCGTTCCCCTCCCCTCCCCTCGCCTCCCCTCCCGCACGCCTCCTCTCCTCCCGCCCACATCGCCGTCGTCGCCGCCGCCACCCGCCTCCCCGCGCGGTCGACGGCCAGATCCACCGCAGCAAAGCCCCCCCTCCCCAAAAGCGGAGGGAGGACGAGGAGCACGACGACGGCGGCAGCGGGGAGGAGCAGCACCACTCCTTCGTCCTGCCAGCCCGACCCCCGACGCTCACTTCCCCGGCGTCGTCGCCGTCGTCCACAACCACCGCAACCACCACCGTGCCCCCACCCTCTCCCCATCGCTGCAGGGCCCCAGCTTCTCCCAATCCCCTCACCCTTCTCTCCCGTGGCCAGTGGATTCTCCCCTCGCGGGATCGATTCCTCCGAGCGAGCAGTCTGCAGGGCCGGACGGGAGCGGCACGACCCCCATTGGTGCGTCGGTGGCGACGGTCCTGCGGGTCGAGGCTGACCCCCAATGGCGCTGGCGCAGAGACTAGAAAGTGGCGTGTATGGCACAAAATCTACCTAGAGTAGAATGCGTTATGTACCCTGCTCCGCCCAGCACAATCGTCAAAATTGGTTTAAGTACCAGACAATATTATGTCATTGCATATGTTGCGTTAGAAACATACCAATGGGAATTCCGGATCCCCGAGAATGCCTTACTCCTCTGCTAGTTCCACTTGTTACTCGTGATACTATTTTTATTACTTTTTAAGTTCATACTTCACCAAAAACAACCATTTTTTTTGTCCTCGCTTTGTTTGGAGTATATAATTACTTGCAGGCACAAATCCATAATTCACTACAAGAGGCAAAGCCTAATTCCTGTGCTTCCGCCGGGGTCGATACTCTTTCATCGAAAAAGCAACAACTAAACCTTGTGCGCTTGTAGGCCATCAAATAGTAGCAAGGTAAGGCATTCACGCGCATGATCACTCATCGGCGACGCGCATGATCTCCTGGTGCAGCATGGTGGCAGCTGGAGCCGGATCTCACGGCGCGGAGCAGTGAAGACCTCGCCGGCAACACACACACAATCTCCCGGTGTGGTGGCAGCTGGAGGAGGATCTCATTGGTGGCTCGGCGAGGAGCGCGAGCCGGCATCTTGGTTGGCAACAAAGAAGAAGGGGTGCACCCATGATAACAAATCAACCGGCGTCGGGCGAAGGTGGGCGTTCCGGCCGGGCGCAGGTAGGAAAAAGGCAGCAGTTGGGCGTCGCGATGCATTCGCGCGCTTTTGCGGCAACAACCGAAATGTTGTATATTTGCATCACTTTGGGTTGTATATTAGGGCTGCCCCCCAAATAATTGTAAAAATCATTGCGGCGGGATATTGTTGGAGGCCTTTTTTGGCCCACTCATGCCCTAAAAACAGCTCGTGCCTAAAATAAGGTTGTTAATGAAAATGCACTAAGTACATATATAGTGGTTAAATCTTTGCCGCTATATATATATGAATCCTCCACTCCACCGAGACCACATGAATGCTTTTTTTCTCTTCTTTTTTTTCTATTTTTTATTTATTTTAGAGAGAGCTTTTATTAAGTTGTCCGAATGTTTACATGGATGAACAGAACCATGCTTTACATTTGGGGTTAGTTGAGAAGACTACTGCTTTTTTAGAATATGGTTCTTGAGAATGGACAGGATTACTGCTAACCCTATGCAGGAGAGAATCTCATCTTACTCGGCCCATGCATACTGCCCTTTAGGTTTTTGTTTACAGTGAATACCATGATATATTTATAGTAGCCAATAGTACATGGTAAAGATACATGAGCAGAATATATCGATTACAAAATAAAGTCTAAAAGAAACGAGCAAATTTTCGAAATCTTTGAACTATTTCTTCTTTCATGACACATTCTTGTACTTTTCTAAAGGCAGCTGTAATGAAGTAACAAGGATATCAACCCACAAACCTGCAAATACCAAAGAGGCTTATCCCATAATTTTAATTTTCAGCCACAATGCCAAGGCTACATGCACGCACGCAGCCGTTAAAGTAATCAACCAACAACGGCAAGAGTACTAAGACCGGTATTCCAGGGACAAACAACCGAATAGCCCGATCGACATCGCAGGGAGCAGAGAGTACGAATCACCATTGTTGAGGATGCATCAGTTGGGATAGATATTGCAAGGACAATCCTCCTCGCGGCAACCATGAGATAAAAACTCAAAATCGATCTAGTGAAGCAAGATCTGAAGGACCATATCTAGACAAATTTAATCTTCCAACACCACCATTGACGTCGGAAAGGAGATCTCGTCATCGAACAAAAGGCCGAAGAATACTTATGAAGAAGATGGCTACCAAAACTCTAACCCAATGTATTTAAAACACTGCTTTTATTAAT